CCCCCCCTAAGGGAAGCGAGCAAGCCGGCCGTGTCGCGGCGGTCGCCTATTGTTCACCGCGACCTAGCGGTAGCCGCCGCAGGAGCATCGGGGAGCAATGGCGACGAACAGCACGGCGGGCAGTGCCCCTGTCGTGATTACGGAGGAATGTAAGGCAGTTGCGAATTCAAAAAGTTCCTTCGGTAGCCAGTGCCATCGGCGCAGAATCATCGGGAAGTAATAGCAACGAACAGCACAGAGGACAGTGGGCGACTAAGAATCCGGAAAGCTTCTTCGGTAGCCGGTGCAGAATCATCGGGGGGAAGCAGTGGCGATTAGCTCCACAGCGGACAGTGTTCCCGGGGTGATTACGACGGGGTTTAAGGCGGTCACGAATCCAGAAAGCTTCTTCCGCGGTACCAATATGAAGAAGGGAAAACTCCTTCGTGAATCTGGCCGCGTGTACGACGTGAAGGAGGTCCGTTTCGACGGACAAGTGGATGTCACGGAGCGCTGTACTCCGCTAACAAAATTAAGCGCGCCCGCAAAAAATGTAGTTGGCGTTGAGTGGACTCTGGTAATTACGTACGTTTATTTCTGAATCAGCTTGACAATAACTGGGCGATTTTTTTCGCGCCGTTCCGCGATTCCCACTGTAGGCTGATGGAAACATCCAAGGGTAGGCTTAGGTGGGCGACCGCATTCCGCTTCTCGATTCCGATGAAGTATTAGTTGCATACTTTAGAGTTTGCCGCCGGTGTCGATGCTGTTCCATCGTCGCCAGATTAGAAAAAAAGTTAATTTTATTATTCGTCAGCAGGTTAAACAAAGCGCGAACTGCAAGGTAAGAAAAGCCACTAACCTGTATGGACGCACAAGTCGCACCCAGGTCGCGCAGTACTCCGCCTCGTACGGCTTCGAAGGGACGATGTAGTACTACGTGCCGTGCGCGATCTTCGACGTACTGTTGCAGCCGACCACGCAGCGATTGTTGCGGCTTTCTTGGTGCAGAATAGCCATCTCAGAAATTACAGCGCTAACCCACCCCATACAAAAATGATCTATGGACGTCTATAGAAAATCCTATGGTGAGTGTTTGTATTTCTTTCCGCCTGCTGTGTTAAATATATTTAATGTTTTTTTGTGTATATTTCGTCGTTCTCGACGCTGCGTCAAGAACGCTGCTTACGCCACTACAGAGGTGAGCTTTACTCATGTCACGACGGTTTATCGCGCTATAAAGCCCACTATTGGACTCGTATAAAGTCTCGAGAGGGCGGTTTCGAATGCCGGTGCACATGTCATCGGTGTAGGCAGAGCAACGACGTAGCAATCGCGACGCGAGTGCTGACTGCGCCTCGATCTGGCCGGCCGCGCTCGCTCTGTGGAAATGTAAGCTTGGGACTCTCGAGCCCCGTTAGCTTACTGAAGATGCAAGACACTACTTGGTCGTCGCGAATCCTTTGCCCTTCGAGTGGCTTCGAAGCCGTTCCAGCGCCCGCGTATACCCTACGCAGCGTCCTCTAACAACCGTTCGCACAGCATCGGAACCCTCCGTCTGCGAGCGCCGGCGGTTCGCCGTCGCGGGGATTATGTTCGCGGGAGTTCATGTTCGCGGTGTTTCATGTTCACCACAGGAGTTCATAAAATGCTTCCGTTCAAGTCGTAACGATAAATCGTCGGCGCTCGCAGACTGCCAGTAGGCTCCAGAAAGGTTACGATGCTGCGCGGGCGGTCGCTGACAGGCGCTGCTGCCTAGGGTACGCCGAGCACTGGAACGTTTTCGCCGGCGTGCGCAGGACAAAGAATCTCAACGACAAAGCAGCGCCCTGCATCATCAGCAAGTTAACGCTGCTCGAGAGTCCCACGCTCGAGAGTCCCACGCAGTCGTCTCTCATTTCGCGATTGCTGCGTCGTTGCTCTGACTAAACAATTCACAGTTCTCTCGAGACTTCATGAGCGTTAAATCGACGCTCCTATAGCGCGATAGAGTGTCGTGACAACAAAAAAGCTTACCCCGGCAGGGGCGTAAGCAGCGGATCCCGGAGAGAAGCTCACCGGAGAAAAGCTCACCGGAGATAAGCTCACCGCAAAACCGGCGGATGCGGAGAAAAGCTCACCGATTTTTTTTCTTCTTTTTATATGGAGGCTATTGGATCATGCGTAACATAAGTATATCAATTTATTATCATTAAAATTTTTCGGCTTTGTAAAAAAGGAAATGTCCTTCTTTGTATTATTTGTTAAGATTATTGGGTATATTGCTCCCAAATTAATAATTGCGGGCGAGTGTTTTCTGTGGCTTACTCTGTAGGCAACGAAAGCCCAACTCAAATTTGTATGAGCTTGAAGAACAGAAAAAGTTAGAAAACTTAATAATGTCTGCCTAAAACCTGAAAATCAAAACTGTAAATGCCGAAAATCCGAAAGTGCATGCGCGCAACAACGCGGTGCCTGAAATTCTCTTTGAAGCCTCTGTTAATTTTTGAAAATAGGACAAAACAGTCAGTAGGATATCCAAACTTTTTTCTTTCACGGAGAAGCACGTTTTCTAGCCGTTCGTGCTGGTGTTTCCACACGTTGCCTTTGTGTGATAGTGCCTTTCTACGGCGAGCCAGCCATGAGCTTCAGAGCTGCACACTGGCATCGTTATTACTCGTGACCTATATAAGAAGTAGTCTTCTGTAAGGTGGCGAATAGGGCGAGTTGGTAAACGTTATACATGATAAAAACCGCCCAAACGACGACGACGGAGTGAAGACAACAAACACGACATGACGAATCTGTTCTCGCAACTAAAACTTAGTTAGTGAAATTAACAGAAAAAAAGCAGCGTAGCCGACACTGATTACATCAACAAACACCTACTTATCTATTAGGCACTACACAATATTTGAAACTGAAACGGTTCACACACCGCTATTCATATTAGCTTGCAAAGAACAAACAACTTTATCTGACAGAGCTACCGACGGCACCTTGCCAGTTGTCAATAAATTGTTTTCTTTTTTTACCGGTGTATGATGTTCTGATTTTATACTTGCGGCTTCATTAATATAGAGAATGGGTGATTACTAATTTCTGATGAATTAGAAAATAAGCCCAATGAACTTCAAGAATATTGCAAAAAAGTGGACATATTTTATTGAAGTGACGAATGCGAATTACGTTAAATTACAACGTTTAATGCCTCTCCCGCTAAGTTTAAAAAAAAAAAAAAAAACGGTGAGCTTTTTTCCGCATCCGCTCAAAGGCCGCGGTGAGCTTTTCTCCGCATCTGCCGGTTTTGCGGTGAGCTTTTCTCCGGTGAGCTTATCTCCGGTGAGCTTTTCTCCGGTGAGCTTTTCTCCGGTGAGCTTTTCTCCGCCGCCCGTAAGCAGCGGTGCAATGTCCGTCAACGCCCATGTTGAGAACGGCAGAATATACAAAAATAACAGCCGAAAAAAAATTAATATCATTAGGCACGCGCTACCCTAGGTGCGTCCTATTATCTTTCTGTTCTGCGAATTCAACAAATCAGCAAGCGCTGTGGCTAATTTTTCTTCTTTTTCTTTAAATTATGAGACATTAAACTCATTGGAGCTTCTTGGAGCACACATTCCCACCATGAGTCATCATGGTGCTTAGAGATTGTAATTGGTGGCAGTGATATAGACTGAACTCACGGATGAAAAACGTATTACGGCACAAATTTCTTAAACTACACAATCATAGATGCCACAACGATGCAAAGATTCCCAAAATTGACGTTTAAAAATGCGAACCTAACAGTGTACACATAATTCAAAAGTGCTTGGTAATATATATATATATATATATATATATATATATATATATATATATATATATATATATATATATTTATTTATTTATTTATTTATTTGTTTGTGGACATCCTGCGGAAAGAGAAAGTATTCGCCATTAATTATTCATTTTGAATTAGAATGTGGGCTAAAAGGCGTAAAATATGATATCTTCAAACATGCCTCGTTTTGGGTCACTTCTGGGAAGTGCAGCTTTAGAAAGAAGTCCAAAAGCTGGGGGTCCTTCATGGAGCTGTCCTGTTCACTCAGTAGTGACAGCAGAGTAGACGCTATGCGTGTTTGAGGCCAATCATGTCTCCGGTTAGGGTCCCGTGACAACTGTCTCGAAGCTGGTGATAACGCTGGACACGGCACCTGCCTTAAGCCCAAGGCCACACATAGCATCCACTGCACTATCAACCTTGGCTCGAACTGTCAACAGGATATAAGTGACACATTCTCTCGCTGTGTTCATTGTTGGTATGCCCCTGAGGATTAGTCTTTGTGATCGCACCCCCGTTCTGGCCTTGAAGGAGCTCTGCTTTTCAATTTTTCTGTTTTCTCTCTCTCCCTAAGCTAAAAGCATTGCAGAAGGTGCGGACTCGGCGGACCAATCTATCGTAGACTTTCTATCGCTTCACTCCGCTCTCTGTGCGCATGTAACGGAAGGAGCGTGATCACGTGGTTTGACGGATGACGTAATAGCCGCTGCCAATCCCGGAATGAGGCTGCTTGCGGACCTAGTTTCGCGTGTCGTGCGGCCCGCGGGGCTGCTGTGGACTTCGCTTCTATGTTAAAAGGTATCCCGATCGAAAAGTCCTACCCGTATGTCGGCAACAAGCGATTTCTTCAAAGAAGCCCAAGACATTCTTGCGATGAGTTCAGTGTTCGGTTCGGCAAATGACAGCTTGTGCTACATCGTGGTGAATCTTCACGGATCCCTTCCTTCTCGGTTTTGTGTTTGAGTGGTTGGTCTGCAGTGCCCGTGTCGACGTATATTTCGGATTACATCTTTCAAGTCCGGTATTTTGAACGTAAGTGCGCTGCAACCTACTCGGCGACAATGGACCTTTTGTTGAAATACGCGGTGCGCATGCGCGGAGTATTTGATGCGCCTGGGTTCGAGAGTATCTAGTTCTAAACAATCCGCCATCTCGCTTTTCTCGCCTTTGCGCGCCTTGGAGACCATCGAGACTCAAGTTTTGATGTTGCGAACAAGGTGAACACGAGTGATCGTACTGGCGACGCCGTTCTAGATAACGACGTGCACCGCAATCATGCCGGTGAACTGTGTAGCCTTCGGCTGTCGAAACTATTATCGCCCGGGTTGTGGAACTAGCTTTTTTCGCTTTCCGTGTGGTAAGCTTTATCCCGTTAAGCGGGCAGCCTGGATTCGTGCAGCCAGGAGAGTTGACAAGTCCGACCCCTCTAAGAACTGGAAGCCGAGTCAGCTGTCCAGACTATGTAGCGCTTATTTTATTACAGGTAAGTTGACTTGTCATTTTTGCAAGCGATAGAGCTTTGCGAAGTGCGGCGATGATCACATCTCTTCGATTGCAGGGAAGCCGGCGTTAGAGGAGGCACACCCGGACTATGTCCCTACACTGTTTAGCTACTCGCGTCCACGGCCGTCAGCCCTCGGTCGGTTTCAACGCTGGTCCTCCAGATCATCAAGCCAAGGTGAGAACCTTTCCTCGTCACACCGGCGATGCGATCTCGTCGCGCGATAACTTTCATCGCGAGCAAAAAGCGACGCGATTTGAGCAGTCGCTTGCTGACCCGACTTTTTGCGACGCGATCTAGTCGCACCAGAGCGGCTCAGCCAGTCAACGGCGTTCGGAGCGAGAGATTTCGAGAAGCGACTCGCCAACGAAGGCGTTGGACTCGCTCATCGCGCACGCCATCTAATCTAATTTTTTTGCGATACGATCTAGTCGCATCGCGTGACTACTTACATCGCCGGCGTGAATGAGCCAACGATGCTCTAATCAACAAAAAAGAAGAAAAACAAAAGCATGTCAAGTTAAATTTGTAAAGTTGTCACGAGAGATTTGAACTTCTAAAGCTCTCCCCCTCGAAAAAAAAAAAAAAAAACTATTTACATTATTGGTGTGGTTTTCATTTCAAAGTTGGGGTCGATTTTACTGCGAAGAAATACTGTCGTGAGGGTTGTTCTTTCGTTTCGGCAAGTTATCAAAAACAGTACACTGGCCATTTGTAAATCATTCTCATTTCAGAGACAGCATGTTTAATAGCAAGCACTAGAAGAAACACTTCTAGTATTGTAATGTGGAGGCAGGGGCGGAACCAGAACAGGCAAAGTATGAAGGAATCAGTATGTAGAAATAGCCGGCAGTGCACAGGAATGTTGACAGTTGCAAGCTATGTATAGGACGTATCCACACATGGCTACCAGACGGTGCACTCTGAGTACTTCGCCAATTATGTGCCTGTGATAGCAAATGGCAGCGCCTGCACAGCCGCAAGAGCTATATGTTACTCGGCAAACTTTTTTTTGGTTGAGGTGACACCGTTCACAAAAACGGTGACACTTGTGGCAGTCGGCTGTGGTATGAGGACCTAGGATACACTTGAAAAAGGAAACCGAGGACAACAGGCATTGCGGACTCCGATCCAGAGAATCGTAACACACATAACCGCGCAAAGGTTCAGTCGCTCTCCCTGAGTGGGCAGCGTGAATTACTCGCTTGCATCAAGCGAGTAATTCTACTCGCTTGCCCAATCTTGCACTCGCTTGCCCAATCGGAACTGTACTCATCAAATTTGATATAGTGCTTGCACAATGCCAAATCAATCAGAAAAGAGCCAAAGGAGAGAACGTGCAATGTGTTAGATTTTTTGCAGTGACAGCTAAGGGCAACAACAGACTTCAAGATTTCTGCCAGGTAAAGAAATGCGTGCCCACGAGCAGTGGTGTCTTTCAATACCAATTGTCTGCTGCTCCTGCGGTAAGGAACTTCCATTCCAGTCTCTCTAGCATCTTGTTTGTCAAAATAAAACTTTGTTTCTGCAAGTAGGTCATCCGTGCTGACACTTACCCGAAACTCTACTTGTCGAAATCTTTGTCAAGGTTTTCTCCATTGTTGCGACCGCGAGTAATTCACGTTGCCTCCTTACGGAGGGCGACCGAGCCTTTTTGAATTCGTATGTTCGAACTCTAGGAAATTGCAAAAACCAGGAACCAGCAATGCCTGCTGTTCTCGGTCTTCATTTTCGAGTGCGACACTGTTTTCATGCGTGATGTCACCTGAAACGGTCAAAGATTCCCTGCGTAGTGTGGCCATTTCGTTGAGGGTGGCCCATGCAGCTGTGCGGACAGTGCCATTTGCCCATCTGCTATCACGGACGCCATGATGATGATCACGAACAAAAAGTGCAACGCTTGCTAGTCGCGTGTGAATATGCCCCATTGCATCATACAATGTAAAAAGTGGTGTGCATCAGTAGGTAGGTAAATTTTAATAAATTTCTTGTTCGAAATCCGCACCTTCATGTGTGTATGTTCATAAGTAGTGGTGTTTATAGAGACTTTATGCAATTTCGAAACTTTAACTCATTTAATATATTTACTTGATTATCTGTATCATCTTCAGAGGCTGCGACCAGTGGTGAGCCAAGCCAAAGAAGCTCGTGCCCCAGTGTGTCTAAGATTTATGCAGGTACGACGTGAAATAATGCAGAGGCTGAAACTGGTATGCTCGTTAATCACATTTATTGCTTTCCAGAATCCACAGATACTGCAAGCAGCTGCGGGGATGGAGAAGGTATAAGCATCAGTTTGATTTATTGAATCTTTTTTCGAGTGTTGGGTTTCAGTAAATATTTGTCACAATTACTGGCTGTCAGTATATTTGTGTTTATTTAAAGCATAAATATGTTTCCCTAGATCAACATATTATGCCTTGTGCTTGTTACAGTCGCCATGTGCTCAATTGGTTTACAAATTTGCGGTTCTCAACCCACAATGAATGTTTGTCCCCATCAGAATCCGCACTGGGCGACTGCGTCGAGGAGCTACTCACCTCAGTTGCCCCTGCCTCTCCACAAGGCACTGCAGTTCTTGCTTGTGGTGCTAGGCTTTACAGAGTACTGAGTTGAAATGAGGCAGGCGGCTTTGGCATAGGCGATCATATGCCTTGTGCTTGTTACAATCGCCGTGTGCTCAACGGATTTACAAAGTCGCTGTTCTCAATCTACAATGAATGTTTGTCCCCACCAGAATCCGCACTGGGTGACTGCGTCGAGGAGCCGCTCTCCTCAGTTGCCCCTGCCTCTCCACAAGGTACTGCAGTTCTCGCTTGTGGTGCTACGGTTTATAGGGTACTGAATTGAAATGAGCGAGACGGCTTTGGCATAGGCGAGCTTATCATGCCTAGTGCTTGTTACAATCATCGTGTGCTCAGCTGGTTTACAAAGTCGCTGTTCTTAATCCACAATGAATGTTTGTCCCCACCAGAATCTGCAATGGGCGACTGCGTGGAGGAGCCACTCTCCTCGGTTGCCCCCGCCTCCCCACAAGGTACTGCAGTTCTCGCTTGTGGTGCTAGGGTTTATAGGGTACTGAGTTGATATGAGCAAGACGGCTTTGGCATAGGCGAGCTTATCATGCCTAGTGCTTGTTACAGTCATCGTGTGCTCAGCTGGTTTACAAAGTCACTGTTCTTAATCTACAATGAATGTTTGTATCCACCAGAATCTGCACTGGGCGACTGCTTCGAGGAGCCACTCTCCTTGGTTGCCCCCGCCTCCCTACAAGGTACTGCAGTTCTTGCTTGTGGTGCTAGGGTTTATAGAGCACAGAGTTGAAATGAGGCAGACGGCTTTGGCATAGGCGAGCATTTCATGCCTTGTGCTTGTTACAGTCATTGTGTGCTCAGCTGGTTTACAAAGTCGCTGTTCTTAAAGGGACCATGAAATGACTTTTTTACTTTTTCCAGATAACTTTTACATTAAACCGTCAATGTTCACTGAATGCCGAACAGGCATCCGTTTTCGTCTCGGTTTATTAACTTCTACACAAAAAATTAATGAAATATCGACTTTTTCTTGACCGCAAAACAAGCCGTGACGTGCGCTATTTCCGGAACCGGAACTTCTCTCGGCAGTAGGAGATGGGAGCATTAGCGGCGACGAGTTGGGGTGCGCCGGTAGGTTTTACTGCGCCGATGTCACCGATATATTTTCTGAATCGGCGCCTCTCATCGCCGCATCGCAGCTGAGCGAAAACCAATGAGATACGTTGCGCTACAGCGACAGCATGGGACTAGTCCCATACACCGGTATGCCTGTTGGGAAGTGCATCGAGTCTTCCGGTGAAGACTCCAGAAGTCAACCCAACTGTCATTGTTGGCAAAAGGCGGCCAGTGTCAGTCGTTTGCAAAGCGACGTAGATGGAAACAAATTGCCGCGCCGTTTTTCACGGTCTCGGAGATGCAGGAGCGAGCCGACGTTAAAAAAGATACGTTTGAACTACGAGTGTCAGCAAGAGCCACGTAAATACCTGTCACTCGGAGCGGACGCGCGCGTTTGATGGATGTGCTGTATTCGCGCTGTTGGTAAGCGCTTCGGGACCGATCTTTTACGATTGCAACTCGATACGGACGCGACACTCGGCAAAGAAAGGTTGGACCGGCATTGCACGTATACCTCTCACGAACTGTTACAGCTCGACAGTGACGTGCAGTCTGTCAGGATAAAAATGTCATACCAATAACAAAGTGTACATACCGTGTTACGAAGGTAATCCATACAGCGTTTATTTCAGCTCTATGTCACACAAAACAAGAAGAGAGAATCGACGAGGGTCCCTTTTCGCCGAGTGTTCGTCAACACTGCCTCGGAAAACAAGGGGAAGAGATTGACTTCACCTCTTAACGTAAAATTGAGGTCAGCGATCAAACTTTTATACGGGAAGGGTCCACAAGGGTACCCCACAAGGGTAGCGCGGGCATATTCCATTCAGCACGCCAGCCGGTCGCAGGCAGACAGACGGTCTTGCGACGAAGCAACGCTGCGCCGAGTCGGAGTGCCTGCTAGGCCTATATTCTGAGAGCTTCGTCGGAGCGCGATTCGCGGCTGTTGTCGCTCTTCTCGGGTGTTTGTGGATCCAGCGTTCTTGTTCGTCGTGGTCTGTTTTAAGTACATTTTTTTCTTGCTGCTTGAAGTCGCCACGCGCGAGATGAACACGTAGAAAAATAAACGTTCAGTCAGTCAGAGTTTTGAGAGGAAGGAAACCAAAGGAAATAACCGTTCTGAAGTCGGCACTGCCAGCCCTGCCCTACTGCGCACGCGCAGTAGTTGCTTCGTTTACCACACGATAGATGGCGCTTGGCTCTCAGCATTATCAAATTTGGCAATTTTCGCCACACATCTCTCATTATGCTACAAAATGTGGGTCTGAATATTATTTAACAAAACTTTTAGGAAACATTCGCCGGCTATTTATTGTTTACGATCGCGGTGCTGGTGAGGTAGGCTCTTACCCAATAGGCGACGTGGATTCGGCTGACGTGCTCCATTTCTGCGGATGCATCGTAGTGAAAAGGCAGAGCTTTCGAAGGAAAGAAGTCGCAAAAGAGTCCAGTTTTTTTTTAAAAGTTCTATAGCAAATAATTTTTTTTCGGCTCCCTAGTTTTGTGTTTTTGTGTTTCTTTTCACACCTTTTACGACGTGCGGTGGATGAAATTAGATTTTAAAATCATTTCATGGTCCCTTTAATCCACAATGAATGTTTGTCCCCACCAGAATCTGCAATGGGCGACTGCGTGGAGGAGCCACTCTCCTCGGTTGCCCCCGCCTCCCCACAAGGTACTGCAGTTCTCGCTTGTGGTGCTAGGGTTTATAGGGTACTGAGTTGATATGAGAACATGATTCTTATAGGCTCTCCATCAAATGGAGGAGCAGAAAACCCAGTCACTGAAGCTGCTTTAAATTCTCCTAATTCTCCTCCGTTTTTTCCAGGACCCAGCAAACGAGAAACCATGACACCTGAGCTTTGCAAGATGCTGCAGTCTCAAGACCTCAAGATTGCAAGGCTGCAGCAAGAGGTTTTGAGGCTGCAGGCAGAGAATGCCCGCCTCAATAGAGAAGTGAACGACCTGCTGTCCAGGCAGCTCACACTAAACATGATCTGTAAAAGCAAGAAAGACTGTGCGTTTTATACGGGCATGTCAGATTTTGAGATTTTTGAGGGGATTTACGACTACTTAGCGTATTATGCTTCCAGGATGGAGTATTGGGGCATTAACAGGAGGTCACCGGGCGAGAAAAAGGGTCGGTCGCGAGAGTTCGAGCCGAAAGAGGAATTTTTTATGGTGCTGGTTCGGCTTCGAACCGGAATGTCGGGAAAGGAAATTGCTCGGAATTTCGGCATTTCCGAGGGCCATTTCAGTAGGGTGTTTGCAACTTGGATCAATTTTTTGCACCGCCAGTTGAAGGCCTTGACGCGTTTCCCAACGTGTGAAGAGCTGCAAGGCCACTTGCCTGCCGCTTTTTTTAAGTTCCCTGACACGCGCGTGATCTTGGACGGCACTGAAGTGCGCATTGAGAGGGCGTCATCACTAGCGGCCCAGCGGCAGACCTTTTCATCTTATAAACACTACAATACGTTCAAGGAAGTTGTTGGCTGTGCACCCGATGGTTACATCTCTTTTGTTTCAGATCTGTGGGGAGGGTCTTCATCTGACCGCGTGATCGTTGAGAAAAGTGGACTCTTAGAACAGCTTCAACCAGGTGATGCCATCATGGTTGACAAAGGTTTTAAACTCAATGACCTGCCACCGGGTGTGCGAGTGCACATTCCTTGCTTCCGGAAACCTGGAGAGCCGCAAATGGCTGAGAATGAGCTCTCGCACACCCGACATGTAGCAAGTGCTCGTGTCATTGTTGAGCGTGCGATTGGCAGAATTAAACAGTTTCACATTCTCGACAGACCGTTCCCCATCACAATGATGGACCTAGCTGAGTAAACCTTTCAAGTTTGCTGCTACCTGAGCAACCTTCGTGGTCTTCTAAATAAGAACTAAAAACCAGCCGCTAAGAAAAAAAAAGCCGCTAGTGATGACGCCCTCTCAATGCGCACTTCACTGCCGTCCAAGTTCACTCCTTTTCCTTGACGAGATAGTAGCCTTCGTTGTCCGTCCCCCCTTTCTATGTATCTTCCTCATGTCTAATTACCGTTACCAACACGCTCGTTTTGTACTTAAAAACCACTGTTCTGCTGTTTCAATAGACCTTTCTCTCAACTACCCAAACATCAACTCTGCCTCCTTGCACAGGAAATGCTGTCTCCATTTTAATCTCAATGAGCATCGTACTAGCGTACGGTCGTGTATCACTACTGCGTGATCCATGTTAAAGACCCCAGGCTAGCGTTTGCTCTGCGCTGGCTAAATTTCTCATCTACAGCTGGGAGCCTCGTTGCCCGTTGATGCAGACCAAGTTCTAAGCTGTATAAACATACACACAACCCAATTTTTTCGAAATGGTGTCTCTTCGTCTTGGTCAGCATCAGGCCGGATGTGATCTTGGTGACGATGCGCGATGACAGTGTCATAGTTCTCTTGTACCTGCAGCTTGTAAGTTCACTCCTTGACGAGATAGTAGCCTTTAGTCACTCGTTTCCCAGTCGGCTGTTCAACAGACAAACTTCGTCATTGACACGAAACTCCCATGCTCGAACCCTTTCTGTCATCTGAAGAAACTGATGTCTGGTCACGTTGGCTTCCACGGACGGCTTGACAGCATATAATCTTGTGTGGAGACATCTTCACAACAGCAAAATCGCTGGTGGCTCTCCAGTTGTTGAATGTGGAACGTTGCAGTCGCTTAGAAGAGACTTGCTAAAAGTTACCCGTGGCTGCTTGGGTGATGTGGTGCTGTCAACACCGGGCACATTCCGCTGCTCTTTAAGAATAGGAATGTTGAAATAAGTGGTTTTTGATGTGCATATGGGTTTGTTTTGTTGCATTTGATGCTTAGTGTTGTTTTGCTGGTTGTGCAATAGGAAATTGAGAGTTATAATTACTATTGTCACTTTGTTTATCCTATATTCTGTAAAAATGATGAGAGTTCTGGTGTCAATAAACTGTTAGAAACCCGCACCTGAGGGATGTGATTACTGTGCCAAAGTGCTTACCCTGCCACATTTTTCCAAAATTTGAGGAATTTGTGCCAACAGTAAATATCACTTGATACTGAAAATATAATAGCTCAGGCCTCACTACATGCCACATTGTTATAGTGGGCTTGTGCAAAGTTTCATGAGTTTTGAGTATGTACTATTTGATTTCTTCTTTAATAAACGCTGAAAGTACTTTGAAGTTTTCCAATATTTCTCGTGTGCTTGATCTGTTCCGATAGGTTAGCTAGCTTTGTTGAGTGCGCCTCTCGCTGCGCACCGGTGTACTGGAGTGAAGCGACAACCACAAAAATGGACATCACAATGTTGCACATTTTGCTTTGCCGCAGTGCATCAGCGTGCTAAGGGAAGGCACTCTTCAAGTGCAGGTCTCAAATTTGGGATTTACCAAGGATACTCGAGTGTTGCCAAAAAAATATTTATATGGCCAGCTCTATAGGTTTATTTTATGTTACACTCTTGTTTAGTTATTACTGTGGCCGTCAAAAGACCCAACAGATGCCAGTAAAGAAGAAGCATCGCCGACAAGCTTCAGTGCGCCTTTTGCACGTGCGAAAGACCACTGGGGCATGAACACGCGCGTCCCGAGGCTGAAGCTCTGACCAACCGCCATTCTCATTCCAACTGATCCCGGCGCTCGAGGGGTATTCACACGAGGGAGAAATCCCGGGGATTTCTCCCCGGCACGCGCGCATCACGAGATGAAAACGCGAGGCTTTTGCACATCGCAAAGCCTGTCGTTTTCGTCGTGGGATGCGCGTGCCGGGGAGAAATCCCCGGGATTTCTCCCTCGTGTGAATACCCCTTTAGCTAGCTCCGAATTTATAATGATAATTAAAAATAGTTTCTATTTTAAGTAGCATGGAAGTCCACGTGTTTTCAGCGCTACATTACCTTTAAATTGCTTCATATCTGTTTGATCACACAATGAGTGCAGTAGATTGAAACTAAATTAGCTGGAGCAGTCTAGAGAAGTTCAGGAAGAACCTTATCAAGTTCATAGGGATTGTTTTTAGTATGCACACTCAAAATATGGGCACCTTAGCCATGACAATACATTGAAATGTTCTTGCACATTAAAACAAATCAACAAGCGTAAAGCTAAAATAAAGGGTCAATCAGCAAACCTGTGCCAAAAACAAAATAAAGAAAGAGCGTTGAGAGAAGCAGAAGCGAATGTCGGAGCGTTGGTTGGCTAGCGAGAGTGCGCGCTGTCATCGGGAGATTGAGTCGGCTAGTCTAGACGTAGGGCAACACCTTGCCCATCTCTTGTGCTCTACGTCGACATACATCATGTCGGCGAAAGTCTTGTTAAGCCGCTCCGTTAGCCCGCTGGTCTGCAGGTGGTAAGTAGTGGTTCGATGATGGCTGGTGTGGCTGAGCCAAATGATACCTTGCGTCAGCTGCACGAAACACGCAGTTCCTTGGTCTGTAACTAAGATCTCAAACGCTCTGTGAAGGGGAACAATAGGCTCAACAAAAAAACTTGGCAACTTGAACCGCAGTCCTATACGAAAGGGCTTTCATTTCAGCGTATCGCGTAAGATGACGTGTGGCAACGATTACCTATCGGTTCCCTGGGAACAACAATACCCTGCTAATACAAGGCATTGTTATTTCCAGGGTGGCCTCAGTCGTCGGAATGGCCACAGACGTTTCATTTATGTTTCGAAACAGATCATTAGCAGTTAGTTAGCTGCCCACACTGCTGACGCACATTATTGTTATTCTCAGAGTGGCCTTGGTCGTATAAATGGCCACCGACGTTCGGTCTATGCTTCAAAACAGATCATTGGCAGTTAGAGTTAGCTGCCCACAGTGCCGACGCACGTTATTGCTATTCTCAGAGCAGCCTCGATCGTGTGAATGGCCCCCGACAAAAACAGTATATGCTTCGAAACAGATCATTGGCAGTTAGAGTTAACTGCTCACAGTGCTGACACACGTTAGTTATTTTCAGAGGGGCCTCGGTCATGTGAATGACCACAGGCGCACCCCTTAGACATTGAAACAGAGCACTGGTACTGCAATTTCGCTCTCTGCTGTGCTAACACACGGTTTTGTCATTCCCAGAGGCCTCAGTCGCGTGAATGGCCACAGACGTCCCATGTATGCTTCAAAGTAGAGCACTGGCAGTGATCTGTTGTCGTTTTCCTTACAGAAAAAAGAGCTTATTTGCAATTAAAATTCTATTTGTTGCGTAGCGAAGATGTTAAGACAGTGGGAAGGGCCAATATGGCATCTGATGTCTTTGCCATAGATGGGCTGCAAACTTTTGTTGTCGCATAGTTGAAATTTATACTGGTGACTCATAGCACAGTGCAATGTATAGACCAGCTTAGACATTATCGCAACAAAAATAAAAAGTTTGTCTGGTGGCTGCATATCGAAATGCTATACGGCAACCAGCAGAGAAGCATGACAACATGAGACACGGGAGGTCAGTGGTGGACACGAAAAACAATCCGATTTTAAAGCATATGAGTGGTCCTTAATAGGACCGTTTTGTGTTCCGAGATGTTCCATGCTTTCTCCATGATGGTGGCGGTAGGCTTCGTCAAGGGGCTCGACACCAGACAGGTCACTCTTGGATGGGGTGTCCTCTCCATCCAGCTGAATGACGATGGGCTGGATGTGGGCACTTGTGGCACCGCCTCGTCGAAACGTTGCTTTAGTGTCAATAACGTGCCTCACAGCATTATACCAATTGTCAGTGGTGACCTTGCCAACTTCTTCGTTGAGGAGTGTCCCCACGTCGACGATCTTGAACGTTGTGTTTCGGGCAGCAACGCCGTTCTTGATCTGGGCCCATATCAGTTCAATGGGGTTGAACTCGCAGTGATACGGTGGGAGCCTAAACACAGTGCAGCCAGCCGTCTCGGCAGCAGTGTCCCACAATACTTTAGGTGCTGTGGCTTCACCAAGGCCACAATGTCGAGCAGCTGCTTCTTCAGCATCTTGGGGTCCCATGAAATTTTTTTTAGACGTCAGCCACTGTCGGATGCTGTCCTTGCGGGAACTCGTCGTCGGCACTGCTTCCAACCGCCGTGAATGGTAAGAAGCGTTGTCCATGACGATAATGCTTCCTGTCGGTAGTTAGTCGAGGACACCATCGAACCACTTCTCGAAGCGGGTGCCATCCATTTCCTCGTGGTAATCGCCGGTCTTTTGTCCACGGAACACGTCCAGGCAGTCGTCGACGAAGCCTTCATTGCTGCCGATGTGGGTGACCAATAAGACGCCGGCCCTTACCCGATGGCTGCTTGAGGCCAGTTGAGAGACCACGCATGAAAGCGTCGTGAAACGAGGATACGGTCGTGTCTACCCACACCCTTGAGACGGTGTGCCCTGCCGTCACCCACGTCTCGTCCAAGTAGAAGATCCTCCAACCATCTTGTCGGTGACGTGCAATCTCATGCAGGTACTTCTGCTGCCAGGCGACGATGTCCTCTCGTTCAATCAGCCACGAGTTTCATTCTGTGCATCTCGTCAGGACCCCCCCCCCCCCAATACACACACACATGAGCCGCAGATCACCTCAGCTTTCTAAAACTCTTCTTCAATCCCTCACCGTCATGGACAACGTAGAATCCAGCGAGCCACTGCTTGTACGACACATACTTCTTGGTAAGTGTACCTAGTCGCCTAAGGCGCCGTGTCAACATTTCTGGAAAAAGGGCGTGTTTAGAGAAGTGCAGAAGCCCTGGTAGTACTTCTTCATCAAAGTCTATCGTCTCGATATGCATCATCCCTTTAGACTCTGTGTCCTCCGGGTCCTCTGTCCAGATGACAAAGTGGCACCACTTGTGGCCAGTCACCGCCATTTGACCTTGCACTTAGAAGAAGTATGGATGCTTCCTCTTCAGTCGCACCTCAAGTCCAACAACTTCGCAGCAGAAGTTTTTCA